AAGCCAAACCACGAGCCATCTTTTTTAGCCAACCTACGAGCCAACCCTAACCCGACTCGGGTAGGATTGGGTTGGATTTTCTGGTTCATTTTTTTTTTTCAAACCAACTCTAATCTAACTTATTCTTTTCAAGTTGAATGCGGGTTGGGACGGGCCGAGTCAGGTTGACCCGTTTTGCCAACCCTACCCGCCAAGCCCACCCTGCCAACCTGTTTTTTTGTTTTTTGTTTTGTTATTTATACACCTAACCTAACATAACAGAGTCACTTACACAGGAACACCATTCCATGATTCTATTCAATTTCTTTCTTTCTCCACGTTGACTATTCTCCTAGTCCTTGTCTCTCTGTTTAATATTTGGAACAGAATATAATAGAATTGTTCACGTGCTAACCTTGTGGCTCCTTCTATTTTTAATTTTAATTTTTAAGTATCCCCAACCATCTTGTTCCTATGGGTTGTTGTTTTTCGAAGTCGGAGTAGTAGCTGTGTTCCATTTTTTGGTCTTTTTTAAGGTACCCTTTATTCTTTGGAGTGTCTTGTTAATGTTTGACGAAATGCATAACAAGATTTTATGTTGAAACAGATGGAGCTGACTTTAAGGGAAGAAGACGCAGCTGACTGGGTTTACAGAGGCGAAGGAGCTATTAATCTTGTTCTCGCTTACACTGGATCCTCTCCTTCTTTTCTCTAATTTTTTTTTGTCCTACTTTTTTTCGCAAGGAAGCAAACTTTTTTCAAACTTAATAGGTGGGCAAGCGGGCTGGCTCGTTGGTAGGCATAGCGAATGGCCCGCTTTGCTATCTCTATCTAGGATCATACAAATTTAATTATTTGGTATATTAAATTAATAAAGAATGGAATAAAAGAATTCCAATAACATAAATATTATTTCTGTTTATCATGCATATAACATGTATTGATATTCTTATGTGAGAAATTTAAAATATATATATTTAAATAATATATTTCATATATTCTGATATGGAGGGATTTTGTATGATAACTACAAAATTATGCATAAAGAGGATTGTAAAATTTCACAAGAAAGTGGATATTAAGCAACTAGAAAGAACCTGAAAAGAGATAAGTGGATTGATATCTGTCGAAGTGAAATATGAACAAATATCAACATCAATATGAAAAAATTTAGGGAGAAGGTAAAATTTTAAGAATTAAGTAGGTTAAATTGAAAAGGATAATATTTGTTATTTTATAAAATAAATAAAGATAAAAAAAAATAAGGATATAAGTTTAAACGGATTTATATCTTCTTGTGCTCTTTTTCTCATGTTCTTCTCACATGTTATGAGTGAAAAATACAAAAGCAAGTTTAATTAATATCATGCAAATAATGATAAATCTTGCTATAATTGTTTTTTATATATCTTTATCATGATAAGGAAAAAATATATATCCAAATTCAATTCTATAAGATATAGAAATACTAATTTCACCTCTCAAACAAAAATATTCATTCCATTAAATAAAGCGCAAAATTAATCATCATTGATGACGATAAATGGTCAAGACCACTGATCCATTCAAGGATACTAACACCGTCAAAGATATCCTCGTGGTACTCGCACTATGGGAAGCTTTGCTATTGGAGCATGGCAAAATAGAATTCCAACTTGGCATTTGATTCCAAATTAGAAAAATCAAAGGTAATATACTCATACGGCATAACTTGATTTTTCAAGACATAATGGGAATGTGAGTAAGGACCGCACTTCCGTTTTGCACGAGGAATTGTCATTTCATTATTATATATCGACTAAAATAAACCATAAGTGACACATGCCATGATGTAAGTTAAAGTGCCAACGAAACTGACCAATGCTTCGTCTCAAATAAAATAAATAAAAAAAAAACGAAGCATCAGACTACAAGAAAATATGTCACTCACAATAAGATAGTCAGAGAACTTTAAAATATAGGCGGCTTTTTAACGAAAATATTTTTTTAACTTTAATTTTAATAATAATTCTGTTGTAATATTGATTTTAAAACTATTTTTTTCACAATTAAGGAAAAGAAAATTTCTCAATGCTATATTTTTTAGAGAAAAAAATGAAGTTAAAAAAATTCATGAAAAAGTCAACGCAGACCGGGGACGCCAAGAAGCCAATAAACTTGAAAAAGTAAAAGTGTCTATATATATATATCATTTTCAACTAAATAAATTAACATTATATATTTCGAGTTTGGGACACGTGAAACTTAAATTCGCGTGAAGGAAATCAAAAATATTTTTTTCGCTTCTGTTTTTTTTTTAAAAACGGACTTTAATTATTTTTTGATGCAAATTGTCCCATTATTCTCATAAATTTTAACTCATGGCTTATAAAACTAATCTTAAGTCGGAACTTAATAACAATTAAAATTCTTCACTCTTTCTCAAAAATGTATTTAATAGGAATTCAACACGAGTTTTTTTTCCTAATCTACTCTGTCTGTATTGTCTATTGAGCTACATTCATTCGGTTTTATTTTTTAATTATCATGTAAAGTCCGCAACAACAGGCTGATTGAATCACGATTATCATGTTTTCACGGATTAATGAAATGTTACGTTTGTAGTTTCTGTAACTATGCCTTGAAAGGGACACAAATAGCGAATTGAAAGTTACATATGTAGCTTCTGTAAATATATGTTGAAAGGGACACAATCTTTTTGCCAATGCAAAGTGACGTTTAACTTGCTTATCTCCACAAAGGTTGAACAGATTGTTAATAACAGCTAAGTCAATTAGTGGTGCCGTATTATGCAAGAAAGATCAACTTCATGAATCATGATAACTGGAACATATTATAAGGATAGATTCAATGAATTGAATCACGATTTTCTGTAGTTAAAAAATTTATGGAGGATCTCAACCATTAAAAATATATAACAAAATAATTATAAAAACAAATTCCAATTGATTAGTATGCCAAATAGATATTGAATTTTTTTTTTTTTTTTTTTGATAACAAGATATTGAATTTTTTTTTTTTTTTTGATAACATAGATATTGAAATTTTAAGTCTAACTGTAAGTGACTGGAAAAAGTTTCGATTTAAAAAAAAGAAAGAAAAAAAGAATAGAAAAAAAAATGAAATTTTTATAAACAAAAGACTCAAATAACTCATACATTAACTGCAAATTACGATTAGTTTATTGTGAATAAATAATCAATATTTTAATAATTGTTGGGAGAATTTTTGGAAAAAAAATCCCATAATATTTTTCAAACATGTTATAAGACTTTGATTGAAATATTATGTTGAGTCTCCTGACAAAACTTGAATTATTTCCAATCACGGCTTAGTAAGGCCAACCTCAGAGTTTATGCTATAGTCAAAAATGTCCATTTTTTTTCTGTAATAAGATCATGAGATTTTTTAATCTTCAGAGAGTGTCAGTAATTCTTACTCAAACACCACTTGGCCTTGGCCTCAATGTATCCTTGGATGATTTTGAATCAATTGCAGAACAACCAAGCCAGGAGTGACTTGCCATCTTCAATTGAGGAACCCTAGTTATTAGTTCAGAACTTTCTATCACTCAAGGTTACTTAATGGAAATTCAAAAGTGGTCATTGAAATTTTGTATTTACAAGTCTCACGTAATTCCCACTCATCCAAGTGGGACAATAGAGCTAACTTAAAAAAGAAGAAAACCTTATGTTTAGATCAAGGTAATAAACTGTGGGCAAATTTAAAAATGTAAATGATTTGCCAGAATAGAGGCTAGATTGGATAGAGACATAATAATAGAGAGTTACCGACCAAGACGAAGTTTAAAACAATAAAGATTTCAGTGCAAGTACCGCCACAATTCACAAACAATAATCATAGTTTCATCAAAGACTTAATATCATATTTTATTTTTAACGTATATATTTTAACATATTCTTTTTCTATTTTATTTTTTTAATCAAGTAAAGTATAAAAGTTGTATAAAATTTTAAAGATGCAAATATCATTACGCATTCACAAATCCTTTGTGAAACAAATAATAATATTTCCCTGTGGCTCAGGTTAGTGGAACCCTGGGTTAATGCTTTGCTTCCTTTTTCTTCGAACCGACCACAACCAGTGACCTCCAAGTACTCAACGGTATTTTACAACGCCATTTTGGCAGTGCGTCAAATTTATGCACTTAAAAATTTGTCTTGGATAACTCAAATAATGGTAGTTCAGATTGCGTCATGAAAGTGAGCAAGTGGAGATGAAAAAATATGTTCAACCTCCTCGGTATTATCTTTGATAGAAATTTAAAATCTTAATTCGAGGACCCGCTTTGAATCGATTGGAATATCTCAAAAAAAAAAAAAAAAAAAAAACTGTCTTGCATAACAGCCTCTGAAAGTGGCAAAAATTAAAGCAAATGATGTATTGCTCAGATGCTAGATGTCTGGTATTGGTCAAAGGGTTCCCGAAAGTCTACTGAAGATTCCTTGTTGCATGCATTACGCATGGTGTTGATTAATGACTCAATGACTTCCTTTCGATTTACGAATGAGCCACTCTTACATAGGACCAAGAACAAACTCTGCTTCTGTGGGACTAAATTGCAGGCCATTAAAGTGTAATCAACAGACACTATTATGCTCTGTTACAGCCGTAAGCCCCACGATAAGGTCCCAAATTATAAACATGTTCCCACAAGACTTCTCCGTAATTATGTCAAAATCTTTAACGTCTCTAGTTTCTCAATTTAACATAAATCAATCAAGGAAGACATTATATCATGACATAAGAAAACTAAATAATCACTTAGTGTTGGTATCCAAATCAAAATATAAACTAATTAACTATTGAAATCAAAATCTTATGACAACGCAATTTTAATTTGCTCATATCTACAACAACCAAAATTTACAATTCAAGCTATTATTCAATTTACCATTTCCTCTAGTAAAGAGCCAGGTAAAACAAATTCGCACTATCCGAAAACCTCCTGCTTCCTCAAAGAACAACAGACTATTCTCTCCAAAGAAACGGCTCTATCAACACGACATAAATCGTCCTATACATTATTATTACAAAATTCATTGTAATTCAAAACTTCTTATCCCAGGATTGTTTATAGTCACTCTCATTTCCTCATCCCGTTTCCTCTTTGGCAGAGACAAGGAAGACATGACTTTGGCTGAGGCCACCTTCCTCGCTAGTAGTTTCCACCTTGCATCATCTTTCCTTTTCCCTTGCTGCATTCTCAATTGAATTTGCCTGTCACATTTCCCCAAAACAGCAAGGTTAACGGAGAGTGACATTGACACCGCTAAGAAATTTACAAATACATTGACAGGAAGTAGAAAAGACAAAGATAATCATCATAAGATTAGAAGAAAACATGGACAGAGACGTGGACTAAAGGTGCACCACCAGCTGACAATGAACGTTATATTAGACAAATTAAATAAATGTTGATATGTTTTGATTTAAGAGTAAGTATATATTGCTCTGTAAATGTCCAAATTAAGCAGGTGATTGACAAAGATAGAGGCCGAACTAAGTCACTAGTTCGGTGTGTTATTCTTTTTCTATAATAAAGAAAGAAGCTGTATAGCATCAACCATACATATTTTATTTGATCATGCTTATGATGCGGACCCATCACAATATTGAAGTTAGATCTAATAAATAAACACCATGGTCCTATGGACTTCTATGGATTGCGTCAGTGCATTGGTTTGTGAGATGAAAATTAGCCGTAACTAGGACATGACGAGTATGTGGTTATCAATATAGCAGGCTGATAAATGATAGCAACTACGATGGACCAGCTGCCTAAAGCTGCGGGCTGGCCAACTACTTGGTATCCCTGAAAAATATCAGGGACGAGCTAAGGAATGCAACAAGCAATTTGGCGATGAACATAGCAATTTATGATGATGGGACCCCAAATCCAATATATAGTGAAGTAACGGGACACTTAATTTCAATGTAATAAATGAAAACGATTACACTTTCCTTGGCCAACCACAACCATTTGTCTTATAGTGTAATCGATGAAATTCTTCGAAACCGACCAGCTTTTTATTAACATATCATGGACTAACTCCTTATCAAAATCAATTGTGGGATTTTCTGCTGTGAATCGGGCACAGCTCAGAATATAAATTTATTACAGAAAAAAACTAATAAATGTAATTCTCAACCTCTGTTTGGCCCCTTTTTTTAATTTTTATCTCAGTCTCTGGTTCTAATCTCTTATTTATTAAACAAATGAAACTAATCCTACAAAACTACTTTTGCTTGCAAGAAACTACTTCTGTCCCTTCAAAGACTGGGAAAAGGGTAGGAAAAAGTAAAACAAGAAAAGCCGCATCATAGCCAAGACTTTTCACTGTAATATAGTCACCGACGATAAAATATATATCTATGACAGATCCTAAGAACCTAAAGTGATAATGAATATGTTATAAAAAAAAAAAAAAAAGGTGATAATGAATATATCTTACAATAAAAGATACCTAGCGCTATTTTTCCTTTTTCAAATATTATTATTAGCAAGATTATACTTTTACAAACTATATTTTATATTTTGGGAGTACAAACATTTAAATATATATTCTCCAAAATACATAATATAATTTATAAATAAAAAAATTATAAATATAACACATAACCCTAATATTATTATTATAGGATTAATATTTCTCGTTGTAGGAGATAATTTTATCTACTACACGTATTAAAGTATGTGGATCTATACGAGACCATATGAAAAAAAATAAAATGTACTAGACACTTTTACATATAAGTAGGAAACATGAAGCACTAATCTATATTATTATACTAAAAACCGAACGAAATATGGAAAGTACTGTCTGAATCGTGATATTAAAAATGAAATTAACAAATCACTAGTTTATAATTTATTTAATTCTTAATTTAAATCTGAAAAATTACAATTCCAAATATCAAATACAGAAATTAAAATTAACACTTTATCTTTTATCTCTTATCCACTCCTAAAAAATTAACTTGGGCATGGTTCCACAACCATAGCTGCTGGTACCATGGATACTGGCCCCAGCTACACCGCCATTCGACTATTTTCGTTGTCAGAATCTTCCAGTTATCGTCATCGCTGACATCCTCTAATATAATTTTTATTTAATTTAAATTTTCGACTCCAAATCTTAATATTTTTTATTTATTTTACAAATAAACCATAATATTATTAATCAACTTTAATTTTAAACATGGTAGAATAAAAACGAAAATCCCAAATTGAATTTTTTTCAATTTTATCATCAAAACGCAATGGTAAAGCAAATAAACGAATAAGCATGCGATCGATATATGTAGAACATTGAGTGTGGATTTGTAATTTACCTGCAAAGAGGAACCTTGCAGGAATCGGATTGTTGACAAATGTAGGAATGGAGTCGGAAGAGCTGCCACATTCGCTTACACCGCAAGCACCCTCCGCTCATCCTCCTCTTGCACGTGGCAAAGTGGCGAATCAAGAGCTGAAGACCTTGACACGTGGAGAATCTGCTACACGGCTTCCTCTCTCCGCTCACCTCCACATCGTACGGTCCAACGTCGATGCACCCCTCCGTACATATGTGCTCCAAACACTCCATTGCTTCGCTCAGCTGTGCATACAGCCCCTGCTCCTCCCTATGCCTCCTCGATTTCTCTTTCCTCTGTCATCAAATCATCATTTCAATTAATAATTAAAATTATTATATTATGAATTTTAATTTAATTTCATTTAATTTAATTAAACTTTACCGTTTCGTTTTCGTCCATGAAGCGAAGGATGTCGAGCTCGAGCCATGGATCATGCTTGATGAGGAACTTCCACCCTTCGGTTTCCTCCACAGTCACGAAATGATTGGTGAGGAGCTTCATGCAGCGGAGGTGGAGATCCGGTGCGTCGCAGAGCCTCGCCAGTTGCAGCACGTCCACCACGTTCTCCGTGGTCAAGCGCTGTGCCAGACCCTTGATGCACCTCTGCTTCAGCTGCGGCACCATGTACACGTGCGACAATGCCAGCAGGTGCATCCCGTACCTGTCCATCTCATCCTCCGCACACCTGCATCGCATCAGGGGTATTCGTGTCATTTCACATCGGCTAGTGATTAATGAAGAAGAAGTCGAAGATAATTAATTAAATACTATTATATACCAACCTCGAGGAGTACAAGAAGCTGACGAAGGCGGTTACGGCGTCGGAAGGAACGCCGTGGATTTGGATGATTCTTTCGGAGCTCCGATGCTTGCGTGGTCGATCTATCTTGTTCTCCAAAACCGGAGACGCTGAAGCCTTTTCATGATTTAATTAAAAAGAAAAAGAAAAAAGTCAGCAAGAGCATGGTGTAATCGTGGGAATACGTACGAGGAGTGGAATTTGAAGACAAACCAGAATGCTTGTGTGGGCTGGAATGCGTGTCCCATCGGAAGTGTGTATAAAGACATCGGGTTCGGGTAAGGGTAAGACCCGGGTGGTGTGGAAGTCGATGGATATGGTTTGGGGTGCCATTTGCATGATTGGAAAGAGCTGAATTGTGATAGATGAATTTTCAGAGTTGGATAGAAGAAGAAACGATGGTTTGTGTAAGAAGGGGATGATTATGAAATGAAAGCAGGCTTTATGTAGGGAACTTAGTGGTCGGCGGAAAACGATAATAAATATTAAATATTATATAGTTGCAATTCTGGGGTTAGGCTCGGGACTGACGCGGAAATATCAGCGGGTCTTGGGGTGCGTGTCCTTTTTCCACACGCGCTATTATTAATTAGAGATATTTGCATTAGACCAAAAAAGTTACCTTCTCTTTACTTTTCTCTTCTTTTTCTATTTTCTCCTTGTCCGTTTGTCTTTCCTTTTGTCAGACAATGACATCTTTACCTCACTTAGCTGGAAGACTGAAAGTCTGAAACAAAAGAAAAACCTTTGGAACAATTAAATACCGGTACATTACTTAGTAAGAAATATCAAATAATGATATTGCAGTTATCATATACGAGTTGAGTAAAGGAAGATGCAAATGAATGAGCAGCTTATCATTCTATTTAGTATGTTGATCTATTAATAGACCTGTTACAATAAGTTGTTATGCTAGTAAGCCTACGATCAAGAGATATGAACAAACTAAATACAAATACAAAACAGAAACTGAACAAACTAAATACAAACAGAAACTGATCATATCCTATAAAGATTCTAATCTTATCCTATACAACAAATCCAGCAATCGTTTGAATGTATCCTAATACTCCCCCTCAAGTTGGAGCATGGAGGAAGGAGATGCCCAACTTGGATAACAAGTAGTCGAACTGTTTTCTGCCAAGGGCTTTAGTGAAGATGTCATCTGGTTGAGAAGAAGTGGAAATGTGTTTTGTTGCGATAGTTTTAGCCATGACATGATCACGAACAAAGTGGCAATCGAGTTCGATGTGTTTCGTTCGCTCATGAAAAATTGGGTTGGAAGCAATGTGAATTGCGGATTGACTATCACAATATAACTGCATTGGCTTGGGATGAGGAATGCCAATATCGTGTAGTAAAGCCTTCAACCATAGGAGCTCAGAGGTAGCTGCCGCCATTGATCGATACTCAGCTTCAGCAGAAGAGCGAGAAATAGTGTGCTGCTTTTTTGATTTCCATGAAATAGGAGAATTGCCCAAGGTAACAAAGTAACCAGTGATGGAGCGTCGAGTAACCGGACAACTTGCCCAGTCGGAATCACAGTATGCCCGAAGAAGAAGATCACTGGTAGAGGGAAGAAGAAGCCCTTGTCCAGGGTTGCATTTGATGTAACGCAAGACTTGCAGCACGGCATCGTAGTGTTGTTGCAGAGGGTGTTGAAGAAATTGAGATAGCGTGTGGACTGCGTAACAAAGTTCAGGTCTGGAAATTGTGAGATAGACCAGGCTCCTAACAAGACGACGGTAACGTTTAGGATCTTCGTATGCAGGTCCCTCTGCGAGTGCCAATTTATGGTTCTGATCCATTGGAAAAGCAGCAGGCTTACACCCGAGTAAACCACATTCTTTCAAAATATCCAAGGCAAATTTTCGTTGGCTTAAAAATAATCCTGATGAACTATGAGCAAATTCAATGCCAAGAAAGTACTTGAGTTTGCCAAGATCTTTAATCTTGAAGCAACTTTGGAGATGTTGTTTGACTTGATCACAAATGGAAGTATTGTTACCAGCTAATATAATATCATCAACGTAAATGAGGACAGCAACAAATCCATCATCCTTATTGAATGTAAACAAAGTGTAGTCTGCCTAAGATTGACGAAAACCGAAAGTGAGAAGAGAGGTTCTCAGTTTTGCAAACCAATTGCGTGGTGATTGCTTGAGGCCGTAAAGAGATCGTTGTAATTTGCAAGCTGTACCAGGTGAGCCAGTAGAGAAACCAGGAGGGAACCGCATGTATACGTCCTCATCAAGGTCACCATGGAGAAAAGCATTTTGGACATCTAACTGATATATATTCCAGCCCTTCGTAACTGCAACAGATAAAAAGGAACGAACACTAACCATTTTAGCAACCGGAGCGAATGTTTCGTTGTAGTCTTCACCTTCAACTTGATTATTGCCAGCAATTACTAATCGTGCCTTGTATCTCTCAATGGAACCGTCTGAATGATATTTGATGTGAAAGACCCATTTGCAAGGAATTGCTTTCTTTCCATAAGGAAGAGAAGTTACCACCCATGTATGATTGTCTTCAAGTGCTTGGATCTCGAGTTGCATAGTCTTATGCCATAATGGATCTTTGACAGCCTCTTTAAAGGAACTGGGTTCCTTGGTAGCACTAACAGCAGCTAAAAATTGCTTATGCTGCGAGGAAAATACATGATTAGAGACAAAGTTTTCTATAGGATAAAGCATACCTGAGGAACTGTTGGAAGGAGTGTTGATTGAAGGGGGTGTAGTAGCTTGCTTGCATTGGTAGTCTTGAAGATATGCAGGTGGACGCTGAGTTCTGCGTGGCCGTGGATTATCTTCAGAAGGTAGTATCATAGGAAGAGGTGAAGGTTCAGATGAAGGTGGTGAAGAACTCCCTCTGCTTGTGGATTGTGGTGCAGGTGTAAGATCAGCAGCAGTGACAGGTGCTTCAAGGAAATGAGAATCATCGATGATCACCGGTTGGGATTGTAGTGTTGTTGAAACAGATTCCTTAGCATCGGAAGCAAGTGGAAAAACATCCTCAAAGAATTGGACATCACGAGAAACAAACGTGTCATGAGTCTCCAAATCATATACCTTCCATCCTTTTTTGTTAGATGGATATCCTATAAACAAACATTTTTTAGAACGTGCAGCAAACTTGTCCAATGGTTTGGGCAGCACCATTGCATAACATAAACAACCAAGGAGTTTTATATGATCTTAGGTTGGAGGTTGATTATAAAGAACCTCATAAGGACATTTACCCTTAAGAAGAGTAGTGGGGGTTCTATTAATTAAATGAACAGATGTGAGAATGCATTCTCCCCAAAAGGAAATAGGAAGGTGACCGTCGAAACGTAAAGCGCGTGCCACATTAAGGATGTGGCGATGACGACGCTCTACTCTGCCGTTTTGTTGCTGCGTGTATGAACAAGAGAGTTGATGATGGATGCCATGGTTGACAAAGAATGCATGAAGTTGGGAAGAAAGAAACTCAGCCCCATTATCTGTTTGAATGTGTTTAACTGGGAAGGTGAATTGTGTTTGCACCATAGTGATAAAATTAATTAATGCAGAACATGCCTCATGTTTATCACGTAAAAGATGAACTCAAACAAATCTGCTAAAGTCATCAACGATTGTAAGGAAGTATCGTGCTCCACAAGAAGAAACAGTACGATAGGGACCCCATAAATCACAATGGATTAAATCAAAAGGGTGCAAACTCGTCTTATTATTAATAGGAAAAGAAGAACGAGTTTGTTTCGCCCTACAACAGACATCACATGGAGTCATTTTATTCAAACTAGAAATGAAAGGAAGCAATCGTAAATAATGTCTTAATGGATGTCCCAAACGTCGATGCCATAGATCAGACGAAGCAGCATGTTGAACTTTATTTGCAGATGCGATTTGATGCAGTACGTACACCCCTTCATGCTCAACACCCTTGCCAATCGTCTTCCTCGTCTGTTGGTCCTGTAGAAAACAATGTGAATCAGTAAAGAGGGCAAAGTAATTGTTACATCGCAGCAACTGAGATAGAGAGACTAGGTTGCACGTGAGTGAAGGCACAAAAGGAACATTAGTGAGAAGCAATAGAGGTGTGAGTTGCACGTCCCCGCATTGAATTGACATTGTTCGAGTGCCATTTGGTAATCCCACGGAGCAAGGAGAAATATTACGAATATTAGTGAGGAAGGAGATAGTTCCTGTCATATGTTGTGAGGCCCCGCTATCCAAAAGCCAAGAAGTATTGGAAAAAGACATACCCGCTAACTTGTCAGTTGTTGGCTTGGAAGAAACAACAAGAGCCATTAAATTTTGAAGCATTTCTGGAGTAAGATCATCAACAGACAGTGGTTTGGACGATCCACCAGAGTTAGAAGACACATCAGTGTGAGCAGCATTGGCAGACGCATGAACAGGTCGTCCTCGTCCTCGTCCACGTCCTCGTCCAGTAGTAGCTCGATCAGAATAGCCATGTCCATTAGCAGCACGATCAGGGTAGCCATGGAGTTTGTAGCAGCGAGAGACGTCATGACCAGACCGTCCACAGTGAGTGCATGTGATGCGTGGCTTAGTAGAATCAGAGGCGGAATTGGTGATGGCACACCCAAGAGCATCAGTTGGGGTATCAGTCATACGCACCATCGCTTTGTGAGATTCTTCTTGAATAACCATGGCAAAAACCCGGTTGATAGTGGGAAGAGGATTGGTGTTGAGAATCTGTGTAATCAGAGTCCCATAGACATGATGATCAAGACCAATAAGGAATTGGTAGACTCTGTCTTTTTCAATTTCAGCATTGACAGAGCGAGTGTAGGCGCACGTATCACCAGAGGCACATGAATTAAAAGTGCGACTAGACTCGAGTTCGTCCCATATGGAACGCAGCTTTGTATAATAATCAGTAATAGACGTACCATGTTGTTTCATGGTCGCAAGAGAGGATTTTAGTTGAAAAATACGTGGAACATTTGCTACAACAAAATGTTCCTTGAGATCATCCCACAAACCCTTCGCAGTTTCGAAACATTTAATGAAAGGCTGGATTTGAGGGTCTAGGGTGTTATGGATCCAGCTATTTATCATAGAGTTGCACAAGGACCATGCATGTGCTTCATCAGAATCTTTATCAGTAGGTTGCTTGATGCTGTCATTGACGAAGCCAAGCTTGTTTTTCGCCTTCAAGGCATTACTCATAAGTTTAGACCAATTTTCGTAATTTGATTGGCCACGTAATAAGACAGTAGTGAGGATGACTCCAGGGTGATCAGAGGCATGAAGAAAAAATGGAGATTTGGGGTCTGTGATTTTAAGAGGGGTGGAAGTCATGGTGAGGTTTGAAAAAAAAATCTGACGGATCGTCAGGCTCTTGATACCATAAAGGAATATGCAAATGAATGAGCAGCTTATCATTCCATTTAGTATGTTGATCAATTAATAGACCTGTTACAATAAGTTGTTATGCTAGTAAGCCTACGATCAAGGGATATGAACAAACTAAATACAAATACAAAACAGAAACTGAACAAACTAAATACAAACAG